CTCTGGGCTGAGCCTGGGGCAGGGGGTTGGGGTGCAGGAGGGGGCTCCGGGCTGGGGCAGAGTGTTGGGGTGCAGAAAAGGGTACAGGGTGCTGGCTCTGGGAGGAGGGTCAGGGCTGGGAAAGCGGGTTAGGGTGCAGGAGGGGGTATGGGATGCTAGCTCCAGCTGGGCGGCACTGACTTACCTCGGGCGGGTCACAGGCGGCAGTGCAGTAGTGCTAAGGCAGGCTCCCTGCCTGTCCCAACCCTACGCCACTCCTGGAAGGGGCCAATGTGCCCCTGTGGCGGGCATGTGGCTCTGTGCACTGCCCCTCTCTGCAGGAACCACTCCGGCAGCTCCCATTATCCACAGTTCCCCATTTCCGGCCAATGGGAGCTGCGGGGGTGGTGCTTGCAGGCAGGAGCCATGTGAAGAGAACCCTGTCCTCACCCCAGGCTGCGGGGGCATGTTGGCCACTTCTGGGAGTGCCATATGGCTGGGGCAGGCAGGGAGCCTGCCTTAGCATCAGCGGGCAATCCTGCTGCACCGCCGGAGATCGTGATCGACTGGGAGAATCTCCAGGATCGACTAGTAGATCGCAATCGACTGGTAGATGACCACTGGTCTAGCTAGATAAAACATGGGAAGGGAAACTGAGGCATAAAACAGGGCAACGAGTTGCCCACAGTCACCCAGCATGTCAGTGACAGAGCTTAGCATAGAACCCAGATCTCCTTAGACCCAGTCCAAGACCCGAACCACTTTGCCATGCTGACAGCTGAGCATCAGTCCCACCCAGTGATGAAGTGTGTCCGTTAGGAGGGAGAGACACCTTTAATCCCAGGCCCAGTAGGGAGAGGAGGTTTGTTGCTGGGATTCTGAACGCTCGTGTCGCTCCATGAGGGATTAAACTCAGATGCTGCCAGCCTGCACTAGAGGAGATTACTGGGCTAAACACTGTGTGGGATCCTGAGCATCTTCAGTCCACACAAAACGGCTCCAGAGAGCTCAGGTCCATGCCAAGTACCACTGGGATTACACTGGGTTGTAGCAAAACCAACCACAGGCTGGAGCTGACCGGTGCCAGTTTGACCTGTTCTGTTGTGTACATGGGCAAGGACCAGCCAAAGTGGTTCCATTAGTCCCACCAGGCAGCCTTTTGAAATCTCCCAGAATGCACTGCTTCCGGGAACTTTACCAGGGAATGGAACCGTGGGGCATCTGCCCAGGGGGCATTGTCATGGAAAGGGTTTAGGACAACACTGGGGCAAACCCCAACCCGTTCTTTATACAAATCTGCATCATGTCTAATTAGGGTGGTCACTGAGGCATCCCCAGAACATAGGACATGCCCATTCCTGCCTGCATGGGCTCGTCCTCACCAGTATCAGTCACCCTGTGTTGGCCCACCACTGCTTTTTCAGTGTGCCACCCACCTGCATCATTCTGTATGAAGGTGCCACCCCCACCGGTGTCCTCCTGCATCCTCAGTCTCCTCCTCTCCCTTTTGCAGCAGACAAAGCCACGTCCAGTCCTGGGTCCCTACCGGACAGGGATAGTGCTCCACAACACTGGGACTGCGCAGCTTCAAACCAGACGTATGGCCTCCCGGCATCTCATGGGGTTTGCCCTGCTGCTTAGACCAGCACAGCCCAACCAGTACAGTCCCTGGGGCTTCAGGGCTGAAATCCCAGCCCATATTGAAACCCTGGTGGCTTCTGGGATTTGGATCACTTTGTTTGTTAAACCTTCTACAAAACAGCGTTATTGATTCACCCCCATGTGACTTTGGTGCCCTGGTTATGCGCTGTACCACTAATCAGTTCACAAATACCAGTAAAGCTTGCTTATAATTGAGATCTCTAATTACTAAAAACACTGAACCGGAATTGGTAATGAGTCTGAATGTGACACACTCCCAGTCTCCATTAATGAGGTTTCATCTCCTTGGTGGTCCTGATGTCACAAAGTGATTAGAACCACAGTCGTTTTGGGTGGAAAAACACCCATTTCCAAGCACCTCTCAACTATCCAGATGAAACCTCCCAAATCATTTCTGTTTCTTCAGGAAAGAATCCAGGCCCATTTGAAGACTCTGAGGGAAGAGAGAGAAAAGCTGCTGGGATTGAAAGCGACTGGAGAGGGGAAGAGCCGGGAGTATCTGGTAGGTGCCTGTTGTTATGAACCAGAAGGGACTGGCAGTGGAAGGTCTGTTTGGAGGCAGACTCCTGTGTGGCCTTGGTGAACATGGGCTTATATGTGTGTTTCTCCATTGGATTGCTGAGTTTGATTCATGTGTAGACAAGCCCTAAGCTTCCCTTTTAATTGGTGAATCTAGCCCTTGTGGCTTGCTCAAAAATCCTCCCCAAGTGAACTGAATGTCCCCGTGAAGTGCTGTCCCCTTTGTCTAGACATTTTGTGCATTTTTAAAACGTTTGTTTCTTTTAACTCCCCTGGTGTCTCTGTCAGTGTAGTGCTGAGTCCTGCCTCCTGCTGCTCTGGGTCTGAATTTCCAGAAACCATAAAGAACAATATGCTGACCATGACCGACAGAGAAACATCCCTTTCAGAGGGATACCGGGGCCAAAGGGGAAGGTGTGTGAGAATCTCCTGCCTAGTACCCACAGGTCGAATGAAATGTCAGAAATCTTAGTATTTTCAAAGAAAATCAGCCTCCTGCACACTCAGCTCTTCATGAAAGGACCCCGGGCTCCATCCATGTCCCTGACCAGCCCTTGCCCTATTTTCATACAGAAACAAACACAAACCGAGAGGCAGAAGATTGTGTCTGAATTTCAGCAACTGCGGCAGTTCCTGGAGGAACAAGAGCGACTCCTGCTGGCCCAGCTGGAGAAGCTGGATGAGGAGATTGTGAGGATCCAGAATGAAAATGTCAGTAAACTCTCCAAGCAGATTTCCCGTCTCAGTGAGCTGATCAGTGAGCTGGAGGGGAAGTGTCAGAAGCCAGTGAGTGAATTTCTGCAGGTGAGACTGAGTGAAAAACATTAGCACTGGAGCATAGTAGCTGGGGCAGGGCCTTCCTCCCCCATATTTCCTAAATCCCTTCCCTGGCACCCCCTGTTTGTGTCAGATGGGACTGAGATTCTTTTCTCTCTCTCTCTCCTCTAGGATGTCAGAAGCACCTTGAGCAGGTACATGGCTCTCTCCCTCCCCCTCACACTTCACAACGCTGGGAAAGACCTTGGTGGTGATGTTAGCACTGCATCTCCAGAGGGCTCTACAGCAAAATGTGTGGTGACTGTCCCATGTTGGATATAAATCTCTTTGAT